CACTACCAGTGTCGGCTAACAATACGAAGAATTAAATTGTGGCGGAATGCTACAAGTTCTTCAAATACTATAGAATGACAGGTTTTTTTTTTTAGTTGAAAACACTTAAATATACAAGTTTGAGCTTTACAAACTGCTTTTTGCCTAATACATTATTTGAGACTTACGTCTTTGAAGTTTGTATAAATAGCTGTGAACTTCACAAATATAATGGATTGACTAAACTTTGTAATATTTAATGGGGTGAAAATATTAGGGGCATACCCAGAACTACAGAGTTAGAGGGGGAGTATTTTGAAAATAAAATGTGGACATTTTCTTCTACACAAAGAGTTTAAAACTTAAAAAAAATTGGACTTAGCTTGCCTAACAGTAATAAGCTGCTGAGTTGCAAATGTTTGGTTAAGTGGACCTTCTAGACTTTTTAATATTGAAGTGGTTGTTTGCTATACCCCCACCTGCTACACTCTGAATATATAACCAATAATGTGAACATGTAATTAAAGATAAATCTGTATAATTGATCTTTTCCTTTTCACATGTCAACACTACATATTACAATTTCTAATAATAAGCCAGTTTAATAAATTAAATATTAATTGTATGACCCTAAATCACACGCATCTCCAACACTAGAGGGTGTAAAATATAAAGTATTTATTCCATGTATGTTGTGTTCAAAATACAGAATATTATTGAATAGTTGTAAGAATGTGGTTCTTTTGTAAGAGTTGAAATAACTTACCGGAAGGATAAAAACAAGACCTGCCAAAATTCCTGCATTTTTATCTCCAAGTATATGATCACAAACAGCAGGAATTAGCACAAAAAGCCCGGTTATTGCAAAGTAAGTAGACATTACCCAAGCAATGTACAATATTTTTCCACTATAAGATGTTATAGTAAATGTCAACATTAAAGCGGTGGTGCTAGCTGTTACCCATGCCATACATACCTGAAAAAATGAAAATATTTCAGAAATGTCACGCACATTATTTATTTGAAAATCCAAGACAGTATTAGTCCATATCCAAAAACTTAAAAAACTAATGTTGATTTCAGAAATCACAGTTTTCTGTTAGATATGTGACATATTTAACTGATCTTACTCATTAATTAACCTTCACTTTTCATCTTCAAGGTATTTAATTAGGTTTCCCTAGCAACATGCACCATCTGGTTTATCCCCTCGTCAATATTTCCCCAAAAGAGGGCTGAAGATTGTCTGGAGGGGTCAACTGTTTTAACCACTCACACCACTATACAGTAATTTGTCAAAAGAACTGGCCTTTGAAATGGATTACCTTCGGATGTTGTGTGGGCAGTAAATTTAAGTGAGTTTAAGAAAAAGCTTGATAAGTATATGAATGATAAGGGCTGACTTTAAGATTTTTCTTTTAAATTTATTTATTTATTTTAATTTAGTTTAGAGGATGGAACAGCCGAGATGGACTAATAGGTCCCTTGTTGTCCCCAAACTTTATGTTGTGTTATATAAAGTCACAATTTCACTAAATTATTAATATAATGCAGAACTAATGTATGTCAGATCCGAACCTTGACCCTGTCTCCTATGTCATTCCCCTGGAGGCCCTAAGTGTACATGCTAGGTGTAGTACTAATTGGTCCAGTGATTCACCAGTTACAAGAGGACATGCACACAGACTTTTGTCAACTAATGGTTTATATTATAACCAAATGGTGTCAAAAGGAAATTCATATTTAAAATAAAAAGAAATAACTAAGCATTCAACATGCACTTTCAATACAAAGAAGGGTTTAACTAATAGTTATTATATAAATCACATCTAAGTGTGAGCCAGGTGTGGTGTAATGATTAGTTTGTCAAGCTGAAGCTCAAAGTGTCTAAGGTTTGAGATGTGATGTGTTATTCAACACACTCTGCTCTCTCAACAATGGTTTTGTTGTAAAAGTGACATTCAATCACTTTGTTCAATTCAAAAACTTGGAGAAAGCACCTTAGGCAATGGATGATTCAGTCTAGCTTCCCTCTGGGTAGTAGTTCAAACACAAGAACGGCTATACCTGAACTGGCTCTTTGACCCATGTATGCATAAGGTGCTGTCTAGGTGGAAACTTTCATAGTTAAGTTTGCTATCAATAATATAGTTTAACTCTTAGTAATATAAGTGAGATATTTATTAATTTTTTCTACAAACTATAACATTCAAGATAGACTGGCATTTCTATGTAGATGTTTTTGATTACCACGAATCTACAACCAAATTTTTTTAACCATAAATATTACTAGTGAATTTTTATTGTTCCAAGTTGATGTTTAAATCAATTAATTGTGCCTTATCAAAAAAGTGGTGTAGTACTTCTGTATATCTGTAAATGCAAATGGATGAATTTTATTAAAGTTTGAAACTAAGTAGTAACTATCAAACTGATTATTATAGTTGACACCAGTTGCTCAATAGAAGTAAACCTATTAGAAGAGATACAAAGATATAAATGCTTCATGTCTGTATGACAATTAATATCCCTGGTGATTCTTTAAGTTTCTTTGTAGTATTCTAACAGAAGTGTGGTTAAACATTGTAATCTATAATTGTGTCCAGATTTTAAAATTTTCCTAACAATGTATTTGAAAACAAACATATTGTTTAAACTTTGTAGCATATTATTATTAAAAACTTCTATGAATTAATTGGAACAGTTCCAATTATGGTTGCTAAGGAATAATTGAAAACCTTTAGTGGAAATAGATGGTACAAATCAACCATTTGATATTTTGCTTTGTAATTTTTATTAGTTTCTTTATACTCTCATGATTGAAGTTTCTTTCGATGTTATTTAATAATATTTCAATTTGAATAATAATATTTTAATTATGTAGCTCACGGCATTATACCATTTCTAACTAACTATTATTATTAAACTATATTAGTGTTTTAGCGATTCTTTGACTGATAGGGAATCAGTGTTCATGGATACAATTTGATGTAAGTATGGAGTTCCTCTCAGGTTGGAAGATATTGAATTCTAATACATAAACACTTTAGTGAAATAACATGATCTTACCTTATAACCAAATTTATCAACAAAATAACCCCATAACAATGATGCCAAGAAGGTTGATAAACCTGCTAAAGCTGTCACAACTGAGAGAAAATAGTCTCCCACAATAAATGTTTGTCCATAAGCCTGAGAAAAAAAAAAAAACAGATAGAAAAAAACTGTTGAATCACTTACAATATTACTAAACATTTATTGAAACAGGAAGCTAATGATATTCCATAATTTGATTAAGAAAAAAAGCTTTAAAATTCTTGTAAATAATTATTATTTAGTTATTGTCTTCAACTATTAATTTGAAAAAATACAATTTTCCTGAAAATTTGTTGTTTTATTTTATCTGTAACAATATACATACAAACACATATATAAAATGCATACACTTTTGATGTTAAAAATAACATACTTTGTAATATATAAAAAAATTTTTAAAAAACAGCCTCTTAGTTTTTCTAAAGCAGTAAAATCTCAAGTCTTGCATGTCAATGTTTTAGTGACTAGTTTACATTTAAACATAAACCTAATTTTAAACTTTCAAAGCTAGTAAAACATTGTTTCTGTAAACTAAACATCTACTACATGAGGTTTGTTTCTCAAGATATAAATAAACCTATTACATTGAGGAAGATATTAAATCAAAACATCAATGTAACAAAATAAAATGCATAATTTTTTTCAATAGCTTATTTATTGATGTTTGAAGCCCTTAAAGTTCAGTTAAATCAGTTATGACATTAAAAAGTTTTTTGATTTGAAAATATTGTCATATAAACTGCTTTCTCAAATAGGAAACATGAGTATAAAACAAAAGGTTAAAATACAAAGAAATGCTACAAACAAACTAACTGTTACTTTTTGACTTTTATAAATAAAGACTATCTCTAGTAGGCATAAGTTGTTTAAAAGCAGTAGTTTTAAAAGACAAATATAAACAGTAACATTAAAAGACAAAATTTTATTTTAATTTTATCATGAAATAGTAACCATACACATTGTTATATTGAAAGATGACTATATTTTATCTTTACTATAAGCAGCTACTTTAAGTTCTGTGTACTTTAAAAAGAATTATTACTGAATTCTCTGTTTTTCATGTTATAAACTTATGTTCAGTTTCTTTACTACTTAACAATCACTTAAATTACACTAATGCTTCTGTGATATCAAAAACAATGCTGTAAGTAAATTCTGGATTTCATTAAGAAGAAATTATTTGTTAAGTTACTTTTCTATCTATAAGTTGCATGCTGAATAAATGTAAATAGATTCGAATATAATGTTAACCAAAATCTTTCTGTATTTTTAATAAATAACATGTTAAAAAATAGGGTGGTTATATTATAAATATACTTGCTAAATTAATTACTAATAAGTCCCTTTACCTTCACTGTGGTTAAAACAAATATCACACAACAGTAGAGAAGGCTTGCAGTAATTGTAAGATTGTAGAAGATGGAAGTCCTTAGAATATTTTGTAATTGAAAATGGTCATCATTATTCATATGACATAATTCGTGATTCACTCTGGTGTCCATGTTTGTACCCTCATCGCAAATAGACCTGTAATTGGTCATCTGGAATATTAAAAATTCAGTTAACCTAAAGTAATTGTATTTTATTTACTGACAAAGTTTCCAGATGTAAATGTATCATTGAGAAAATTAGCACAAATACAATGATATTACAGCTATAAGTTCCCATTAACTGAGAATACAAAGAGTTCCATATAAATGAACCACAGAAATTTACCACTTTAATAATGTAATGAAGGAAGCATTCAGCCTTTTTTTTTCAGAGTAAAGAATAGACTTGAAAACTGAATGTGCTGACACAGTTTTGAAACTCTAGCTGTGAATTAATGAAGTATGTAAAGTTATTTTTATTGATTAATAACTGAAAGTAGCATATAATACTAACATGAGATGAAACCACCATCTTAACTATCATGTTTAAATTTTTGTTCATTTGCAATAATAAACTTCTATGTGTATTTCAAAAACTGCATCATTTTCTAACATCTTCATCTAAAATACATGAAGAAGATATATCTACAATGCTAAAATTCGGGATTCGATTTTCCATGGTGGACCCAGCAGATAGCCCAATGAGTTTCCTCTATGATGCTTATCGACAACTGCCATAGTTGAGTTATAGCCTTATTTGAGCACCTGATTGCCATTATTGAGTGTTTCATAACCTGTATAACAGTAATATTATTCTGTTCTTCTACCGTACATATTTCTGTGGCAAAATAAAAGAAAGTAAAGCTACTACTTGCAGTGAGTTCAGTTTATAAGCATATATTATCTCCATGTTTCATAAATAACAGTCCCCTTTCTGTTTGCTAGATGGCAGCACAAATTGTTTTTATATAACGATTTGTGACTTTTCATTGCATAAACACCATATCTGCCAAAACAACTAGAGTAAAAACAAATAAAGAATAATCTAAATTAATATTCGAAGTATCAAGAAGATCTAGTATTTATGCAACTGACAGATCTATGTACATGTTGATGTCTGAGTTTAAAAACACTAGTTTCTTAAATATCAAAACAATACATTACATAGCAGTCTATTTTTCTTAAAATTTCCAGTGGAGCCAAGCCTTGCAGCCGTGAATGTAGGCGTGGTATCATACTTTATGACCTGGGATCTGTATGATGTCCTCTCTATTAATGGAGCTTGTGGTGGAGTCGATTGTATGCACATGCAGTGAGTTGGGGTTAAGTTGGAAGACATGGGTTCTTTAAGTATCCCCTTAATAGTGTTCCAGCATTATGGGGTTCTTGTACCATTCGGGAAGAACCATTTCAGCTTCACTGGCCCCCAGTGTAACCCAAAATTAGAGAATCTGGCAAAACTGATATAATATTAACAATGTAGAATACTCTTGAATTATAAAAATAAAACAAATATTCATTATCA